ACAGCTCAGTGAGAGTACTGGTTTAGTATTCATGAGACTACACACATTGTCAGCACCCACTAACAAACACATTTTTTTTTTCCAATTCCTGGAAATGACCAGACAAGGCAAGTACTCTACCACTGAGTGGAAGTTTAAAGAGTAACTCTATCTTACAACCGAGGACAAAGTAGAGTAAACCAAAGTGTTAACATGAGGAGGGAAGGCTGGGCATGGTGGCTCTGCCAGTGGTTCCAGCACATAAGACGCCAAGGAAGAATTAGCTTAAGTTTGAAACCAGTCTGAACTACGTAGTTCCAGGCTAACCTAGGCTACGGGTTGAGACCCTGTCTCAAAACACTAAGAGGAGAGTTCAACTACTTCTAGAGGGGTGATTTTAAGAGCCACACAAGTAAGTAAAATCAGAAAATTAGAAAAAGGTGTATGTGGAGCCCCCACCTACACACACATCTACACACACCTACACACACACACACTCACACTCTTTTTGCATTAGAGTTACTCTTAAACCTAGGATGGTCTAGACTTGTAGCCATCCCCCTGCCTCAGCCTTAAGTGCTGCAATTTCAGGTGTGAATTGTCACATTTGGCTATGATCACCATTTTTAAAAGTTCCTACAACAACAACAAAAAAAGGAACTAAATAAATAAATAACAGGCATAGAATCACACACCCAACAGAGGTGCTGACCTGAACAATAAACTTTCAAGCCCTTTTAATTCCAGAACCAAGTTGTGAAATGAAAAATTAGGAGCGGAGAGTGTGGTGACAGCATACTCCTTTAATCCCAGAACTCAGGAGGCAGAGACAGGCGGAGGACCTCTGAGTTCAAGGACAGTCTGGTCTACAAAGCAAATCCAAGGACAGCCAGGGCTAAACAGAGAAACCCTGTCTCAAAAAACAAGCAGCAGCAGCAACAACAACAACAAAAAACAAAAAAAAAATAAGTAAAAATTAAAGATGTTAACTGACACCTAGTCTTGGTCTCAAAAACACAACACAACAACAAAAACTTAGGGGTATAACTGACACTTTAAAAGTGTCCACTATAGGAAACAAACTTGTATACTGTTTTTCTAGTTACAGCTATTTTGTATTTAAGGAAAACTGTAAGTATATGAAATAATGTCTAAAAATTGACTGAAAGCAAAGCTGGTATTTGGAGCTCTCCAGCACACAAAGAACACAGACCTCACAGCCAATCTAGCCTTTCTCTCAACCTAATCATCATCATTACCAAGAGATAAGGAAGACGACCAAAATAAGCACTCTGGGGACAGCTAGATGGTTCTGCAGATAGATGGCTGCCAAGCCTGACAACCTCTGGAACCCACAGGACTCCTGCAAACTGTCCTCTGCTCTCCACAGGCACGCTGGATTTCCCATGCTGTTCCTTATTCATGGCCACCTCACTGTAAAATACTTTTTTTTTTTAAAGATTTTATTTATTTATTATGTATACAACATTCTGCTTCCATGTATATCTGCACACCAGAAGAGGGCACCACACCTCATAACAGATGGTTGTGAGCCACCATGTGGTTGCTGGGAATTGAACTCAGAACCTCTGGAAGAGCAGTCAGTGCTCTTAACCTCTGAGCCATCTCTCCAGCCCGCAAAATACTTTTTTAAAAGTACTTTGAACATAAGCACCCTCCCAAAAGAACTCTAATCATAGACAGATATTCTGTATCCCCAAAAGAACGGCACAAAAATCATCATTAAACCCTAGCAGCACTTTCTATTTTAAACTTCATGTTTTGGGGGCTTGAGAGATGGCTCAGAGGTTAAGAGCACCAGCTGCCCTTCCAGAGGTCCTGAGTTCAATTCCCAGCAACCACATGGTTGCTCACAACCATCTGTAATGAGATCTGGTGCCCTCTTCTGGAGTGCAGGCATACATGCAGGCAGAAAGTTTGTATACATAATAAATAAATCTTAAAAAAAAAAAAGAAAAAAAAACTTTGTTTCTCCTGCATGTGCACATGTATGTGGGTCCCTCAGAGGAAAAGGTAAGTGGGATCCCTGGAATTACAGACTGTAACTGGCATCTCTCCAGGCCCTAATTCTAACAATTTAATCTTCGGAAACTCTTTCAGAGCCAGGTTTATGCTTTCGATTAATTAGACCACAAAGAGGAAGTGTACTATTAACACAAGAATTAAAACCAACCAAGGTCTGCAGGGCAAAAAAAGAAAACCATCCTGGAAATAACTACAGTATTTCCTATTCTCATAGGATGCTGCGGACCAAAAAGTACTAAATACACAGGGGCTGGTTCAGTGCTCATTTAAGAAAAATATACGGGGGCTGGAGAGATGGCTCAGAGGTTAAGAGCACTGACTGCTCTTCCAGAGGTTCTGAGTTCAATTCCCAGCACCCACATGGTGGCTCACAACCATCTATAATGAGATCTTATACCCCCTTCTGGCCTGCAGACATAAATGCAGGCAGAATACTGTATACATGATAAATAAATATATATAAAAAAGAAAACTATACACATGGGAATGAGAGGTGGGAAAACACAACTGAAGACATAGCTATTTTTAACACACTTTAAGGAAGACTCACTTCCCACCCCCCACGACAGGTTTTTTTTGTGTAGCTCTGGCTGTCCTGGAACTAATGGGGGGGGGGGGGGGAAAAAAAAAAAAAAAAAACAAAAAAAAAAAATAAAAACAAGCCGGGGGTGGTGGCCTGTGATCCCAGCCAGTCCAGACGGCAGGAGAATCAGAAGTTCAAGCTCATTCTGTGCTTTCCAGCCTCAGGCCTGCCTAGGGTACAGGAGACCCTGTCTGCAAACAATAGGCAGAGACTAACTCAACAGGAATTCATGCAGATCGTAACCATTTGTGTAACTTGTTTTAGACCCACAATTTTTGTCAGAAATAAAACTGCCATGCCTTCCCTGTTTAAAAAAAAAAAAAAATCCACCAGTTTCTCTAAAACCTCTCTGCTCTCTACCAAACCCAGTATGGACAATACATGAAGCACCCATGTTTTCACAAATACTAACAGTCTGCCTCCAAATTTTGTGAAATTTCCCTGAGCTGTTTCAGATCTGATTTAGCTGCTGAGAATGTTATCTCCCTGCAGTTAGTCTTCATCTAAACACCATAACGACTGCCTTTTATCTTTCAAAATAGACTTACTTGGTGACAAGACTGGAAAAGCTGATGCTCTCAACCAACAGGGGAATCCTACTTCTAGCCTTTTTGATTTAGGTATTATTTTTCATATTCTCCAGTAATGAGAATTTTTTAAAAAGCAAAAAACTAGGAAACCTTGGGTTTGCCAAAAACGTAAGAAAATTCAAACTACTATGTAGTTAGGGAAGAACTGACGTAAAGTGCTTCCCTGAGTTCAGTTATCTGCCAATTCTTATTCAGAAATTGCAATAAGATCTTCCGGCAATCTTCCCTCACTACCAAAACGCTCCTCGTTCCTTTCAACTGTAAATGAGAAGGAAGACAGTAATTATAAAAATTAAACCTTTCACTGACTCAACTCCACATCACAAATGCTCTCAGAGCGTTATACAGAAATTCTCTCTCTCTCTCTCTCTCTCTCTCTCTCTCTCTCTCTCTCTCTCTCTTCCTCTCCCTCCCCTCTCTTCCTTTTTCACTGTGTGTGGCGTTCGCGCGCTAAAGAATAGCAACTGGAAAACATGATGCTTTCCTCGACGCAAATGAGTCTTCAGGGGTAAGGGGGTTTGCAGGCCAGCAACAAAATACCCTAAGCCCGAAGTAATCTCAAGTATTTATAGGCCGACTGCGCTCCCCTTCACTCCTAGGCATACCTGTGTGGGATGAATTTTACACCCCTACAAGGGTGGGGACCGGAGCGCTGCACAAATTTCCTCATTTGAAAGCGGACAACCC